TACCCCCGCTACATCCTCCCGCTCGCCTTCGGCAAGTATTTCGCCTCCGTCTCCGCGCACGTCTCGCTCTGGAGGGTCCCGGTCTCCTACGCGCACACAGGTGAGACCCGCCGTGCCCGCCGGGGGGTCCCTGTGCCCGGTGTTTGCTCGCGGGGTGGCCCGGTGGGATGTCCCAGCGCCGGCTGTTCTCGTACAGGTGCCCCGTGTGCTGTCCCGGGCTGTATGTTTGTACGGGTGCCCAGAGCCGTGTCCTGGTCCCCAGTGCACGCTTGTACTGGTGCCAGTTGCAGTGAACTGGAGCCTGGCGTGGGTAGCTCTGGGTCCCACACCCCCCTGGGTGTCCAGCATGGTGTCCTGGAGCACCAAGAACCAGCCGGTGTCAGTACAAGCCCCCAGCACAGTGACAAGAAGGGATGACCCAGGGTGGGCTGAGGTGAGAGCTGTGGTGGGACCAGCCCTCAGCCCCTCCTCACTCCCCAGCACTCACCCTCTGCTGATGGTGGTTGATGGAGTTGACCCAAAGTTTCACATCCCCACGACGTTTTCTTTCCGTCCCCAGTAAAGGCGACGATGCCGATATGGGTGGTTCTGCTGTCTCGGATCATCATGAAGGAAAAGCAGACGACGAAGGTGGGGGCAGGTTTGCTGTGGCTTCTTCTCTTGGTGGTCTTTGTGGTGTGTTCTGCTGGCTGGGGTCAGGAAAGCTCAGGCTTGGGTTGGGATGCTTTCTGGCGTTGGAGTTATTACAGTGTGTGTTGCAGTCACTTAATTTCCTCAGGCTACAATAAAAGTCACCTGCCAGTTCTGTTGCTTTTTTCCTTCATTCTCCTTTCCTCTCAAGCCAGCATTGTGTATCATCTCAGTTGAAATGAACATTCTTAGAAGATCTAAGTTGCTTCCCTCTGTTTTCCTTTCAGGTGTACTTGTCTCTGATCCCCATAATAACTGGTGTCCTCTTGGCCACTGTCACAGAACTTTCTTTTGACATGTGGGGACTTATCAGTGCTCTTGCTGCTACTCTGTGTTTTTCACTGCAGAACATCTTCTCAAAGAAGGTAACAGCTTTGCTGCTCCTAACGTTGGTCAGTAGCATCACCCTTTAGCAGGACAGGGTGTATTTTCCAACACACACATATTTATTTATTTTTAAGTTGACTTTATAGTCAGAGGAGCCCAAAGTAACAGCTGGGTATTTTGTGTGCCTGGTCTCTGCAGCTCTTCCTACCTGTTATAGCTGTTATACTGAAAATTGGAGAGAATTCAGTTTATCTTGAGCCTTTACTTCTCTGAATGGGTTATTTATTTCTTCTCATAGTTCAGTAGGGCTTAAATCTAGCAATTAATTTCAAAGCTTTTAATACATCCTGCTGTATCAGATCCTTTCTCTGTAGTGAATGACTCAGTGGCAACACTGGGCATTCCTTGAAATCTTAGAAGCAAGATGAAAATGTATATCTTGAATCTTGAAATGTGTGTTTAGTTACAAAAGTTTCTGGTTTGTAGAGCATTTAAACTATATTATTAACTTGTTAATGCTAAGAGTCACCACTCGAGAAACAACCATTTTTCAAATGGTTATCTGTTTGAACTTGATTGTCCTCATAGGAAATTCATCCTGTAGCAGCATTTACTGTCATAATGTATCTGTTATCTAAAGCTGTTACTGGTACCTGGCTCCTGAATCTCTGCTGATCACATGGACAGAAGCTGAAGGAGCTCAGTGTATTTATGGGGTTTTTTAGGTGTTAAGAGATTCCCGGATACATCATCTTCGATTGCTGAACATCCTTGGGTGCCATGCTGTGTTCTTCATGATCCCAACGTGGGTGTTGGTAGATCTTTCTTCCTTCTTAGTAGAGAATGACTTGGTAAGTGTGCCATTTGGGAAACTGCTGTTAAGAAAGAAAAGATGGGGAAAAAAACCCAGTCAACAAACAAGCATAACCAGGCTTAGGAAACAAGTGCACTTGAGTGTTTCAATGTAGTTCCTCAGCAGCATGGAAGGAACTGTTGGGAAATACCTGCAAATTGTTTCACAAAACAATATACAAAAATAAGCACAGTGTTTATTCTGAGAATTCATTTCAGGGTTAGAAGATAGAACTTATGTGACAGGGTAAATCTGGAACTAGTAGCTGGAGAGAGGAACAAATGCACCCAGAACGTGTTACAAGTACTTGGATGTTTTCTCAGGGTTGGCAGTTGCATAATTTAACACACCAGGGTGCATTTTAGAGTTAAGTTGCAGAAGTTCTTCCTATCAAAGGCAGGTAAGAAGTGGCTCAAGTTGTATTTGTGTTTCTTTGTTTCTTATCTGAAACCTGAGCTAATTTTTTTTCTTTTCTTTTCTTGTAATGTTTGCCTTTACAACAGAGCTCCATGTCTCATTGGTCCTGGACCTTGATGCTGCTTATAATCAGTGGATTCTGTAATTTTGCCCAGAATGTCATTGCCTTCAGTATTCTTAACCTGATCAGCCCTCTGAGTTATTCTGTTGCAAATGCCACAAAGAGAATCATGGTCATCACAGTGTCCCTGATAATGCTCCGCAACCCAGTGACCAGCACCAACGTCCTTGGGATGATGACAGCCATCTTTGGGGTCTTCTTGTATAACAAGGTAAGGGAGCTGTTTGTTTCCTTATTTTTTTCAGGAAACTCCATTAAAACAATCCAGTGGCTTTGAACTATTGTTTTGTACAAGGTAATGGCTGCCAGAATAAAAGTGTATAATGCTCAGCATTGAGCTTCAGTGCTGAGGAGGTACCAGTGTCACCTCCTAAGCACAGTGGTTGGGTCAGGCCAGCTGTCATATCTTTAATTAACTTATATTTCATCTTTATATTTCCTTAAAAAATGAAGATTGGGAAATAACTGACTCCTATCTCATAGGCAAAAGAGCAGCTTACTGGTTTGACATACAAGAGGAATGAGAATTTATTAGAAGCCATGAATGCTTTTAGACTCCAACAGTCATAGAATCATCAAATGGTTTGGGTTGGAAGGGACATTCTAGATCATCCAGTCCCACCCCCTGCATGGGCAGGGACACCTCCCACCAGCCCAGGCTGCTCCAAGCCCCATCCAACCTGCCCTTCAACACTGCCAGGGATGGGGCAGCCACAGCTTCCCTGAGCAACCTGTTCCAGGGTCTCACCACCCTCAAAGGAAAGAATTCCCTCCTCATGTCTCACCTCAATCTCCCTCTCCCAGTTTTAATCCATCCCCCCTTGTCCTCTCCCTCCCTGCCCTTGTCCCAAGTCCCTCTCCAGCTTTCCTGGAGCCCCTTCAGGCACTGGAAGCTGCTCTAAGGTCTCCCTGGAATCTTCTTTTCTCCAGGCTGAACACCCCAACTCTCTCAGCCTGTCTCTAGAGCAGAGCTGCTCCAGCCCTGGATCATCATCCAACAGGCAGAGATTGTGTGACAGTAGAACCGGTCGGTTCTCTCACTACGGGAACGTGGTTGGTGGGATCAATGAAAAACATTCTTTTCTTTCCTAGACAAAATACGATGCAAACCAAGAAGCAAAGAAGCCAGTACTTCCAGTGACAACTGGAGACCTGGTGAATTTGGACCGGCATCGAAACACTCCTGAGAAGTCTCAGAATGGACTCACAGCCTTTGCCCAACATGGAGACTATCAGTACGGCCGGACCAGCCTCCTCACAGACCACTTCCAGTACAGCCGGCAAAACCACCCCACCACCTACAATCTAAATCGTTTTGATATATAGAACCCTGGCCAACAGGTAGAGACTGTCATCTCAAAGTGTCCCCAACATTATCAGAAACTTGAGTACATCCATGAATGTAAAGCCATTTTTGTCGTGCAGGTTTGGCAGGAGGGGAGATGCATGTGTGGTGACAGCGGGGCAGAGCCTCGCCCGTGAGACAGATCTGGCACTGGAACTAAATGCACAGGGTAGCTCTTGTGCTGAGACCCTGGGGAAATGCACCTCCAAAACTTCAAACTATCTGCTATCACTGCTCCTTTCCACGGTCTGTCAACTGATCATTCTCTTGGCAGCTACATTCTGGCCAGTATTTTGTTTCCACGCTGGTAACATCACCTTTAATTTGTTCTTTGATGTGTTCTAATGATACTTTCTTTGAAGGCAACTTTCAGAAAGAAGCGGGAACTAAGGCCTACCTCTGGATTCATCTGTTTGGGGGGATTGACTAATGTGTAGCAGTTGCAGATAGATTGACCTGAACTCATCTTGAGCACCCATGAAACTTCCCATGGGCATAAACTACTTCTGTGCCTGTGCCTTCAGGTTTTGGTGACAAACCAGGAGTGTTGTGAGGGAGCAGAGTAGAAAGATGGGTCTGTCACTTCAAGAAGCAGACTTCAGGTGTAGAGAAACAGAACTCTCTAAAATCACTGTTGTCCCAATCACTATAGATAACAACCAGAGCATAAGATCATAATTGTTCTCTAAACAATGTAGTCCTGTAACTTCAGACATGGCTCTTCCTTGGCAATACAGAAAACACCTTCACAAATAAAGCATTTGGAATAATATATTTATTTTTTTTTTCACTTGCATCACTCCTGCTCTTACAAAGCTCTTTTGTTGCTTTAGAAATGGGAAGGTTTAAGGTGTTTTCTTCTCAGTTCTCTGCCTAAATTATGCTGTATTTATGATTCATATATTATGAATGCATTCATTTGAATAATCATCGTTCTTAATTGATTCTTAAGTCTATCTTCTTAGCCCCTAATTGTTTTAAGTTTCTTAATTACTGCTGTTGGATTTGCTTTGTGCATTCAGCCTGACTTTCACTTTCAAAGGAGTTACATTTTCTATCCTGCTCTGTTCTTGCAGCTCCCCTGGCTTGAATAGTCAAATGATAGGAAAAAAAATACTTGAATCAGCAGTAAATGGGTAATTTATGATTAAAAAGAAGTGATTAAGTTAGTATAAGGGAACATATTTAAATCTAGACAAGTAGTTGTGTGTCAGGTACTGCATTTGTGCATGAAAGGGGTGAAACCAGCTGAACTGGGGTTTCACTGGATCAGGCTGTTACTGCTTTAGCAAAAGATTTTAGGGGCCTTCTTTCCTTAACAGAAAAGCTGTTGTACAGTGAGATTTTTGATAGCATAACTATTATGTTTTTATTAGAAAGGTATTAGATACCAGTGACAATATTTAGGGTGTGTCACAGAACACTCCACCTATTTATTGCTTTACAAGTGACCATTTCTGTGATGTGAGATGATGATTTGGCTCCTTTCTGGATAATAAAGGATTTATTTTTAAGTGCAAAGTCAAGCTGATCTTGTTCTTTGGGCTGACTCTGGAGGTAGTTATGTCACCTGCCTGCCACCAAACAGTCCAAAAGAGGGAATGGTCCTTCTGAAACTTCAGACATGGGTTAAATATGCTGCTAATGTTTGTGAGCAGAACTTCCTTGACTTGACTGGAGTAGGATCTGTTCATGTTAGCTTACAACTTTGGCTTTTAGTTTGGAAAATCTAAATAAATTGTTCCCTAAACCTGGTTAATAAGAACAAGATCACAAGGAAAGCATTCTTTGAGATGAAATAGCTTTTGTTCCAGTATTATGTATAAGGATCTATTTTTAATATGGGAAGGTGCAAAATGTGTCTTTCTAAGGCTCACTGCCCAATGTTTAAGTGCTTTTACAGACATGTGAAGGGGTTCTGTGGGCTCTGGACTTGGATTAGGTTCTGGCTCTGCAAAAGACTCATTTGAGGGTGAGGCATTTAGGCTGAGATTTTGAAGAGGGGCTGAGGTTCTCCAGCTGCTTTCAAAGGGAGCTGGCTGTAACGTGTCAGACTCCTCCAAATGCTTCATTGTGTTCTTTGTGCCTCAGTTTCCCATCTGGAAAATTAAGATTATTCTTCCCTCCTTCACAGGGAGATGAAATACCAGAAAAAAAGCAGCTGTGGGTGTCCAAGAGATGTAGAGGCATTCTGTGAGTTGAGTTCTGATGTGGAACATCTTAATACAACTGGAGCTGTTACTTGGAGTAAAGCTCCACATACTTTATTCACAGGCTTTATTAAATATATTTAGATTGTTTCACTGTCTCTCTGAAACAAAACTACTGTACTTGCAGAGCAAAGAGGTACTGACCCAAACTGAGGATATCACCTACTCAGGGCCCAGAGAGGGAATCTCTTCCCTGGAGACTTCCTGACAAGTCTTCATGCTCCTCCAGTTCAGGTCTGTGGTCAACAGGGATCATTTTGTCTGGTAGAACATATAATTAAAACAGTTAAGTGAACTGAGGAGGTGGTTTTGCTGAGTACCTGAATCCAAGTCCCTAAGCAATACTGCCCACATTCAGGCAAAGGAAGTTTCTGGTAACTGGTGTAAGATACATTTTAATCTCGGGGCTCTGGGAGGTTTTGTTTGGCAAAGTGAAACATTTGTTTTAACCTGGTTTGTAAATTAATGACGTGTCTGACTGTGTACATAGGTCTGTAGCAAGTATGGAAACACTGGAATAAAAAGGGCATATCTAGACCATGGTGTTCAATGACCCTGTTATTAAATTCAAGTGAAGTGGGTTGGTTTGGGTTTTTACCTTGCAGGAAGCTTTGGGAGTGCCACACATTAGTGTTAATGGCCACCTGGGAGAAAGCTAATTAATATTTTGCCATGTGGGTGTGACACCAGATGCCTACGTAGCCTGAAACTGCAGTGATTCAGCTGCCTGAGTGGCTGGTATCCTTGGAAATGTTTTGGTTTCCATTATGCATTTCTATCACCAAAAAAAATTGGGAAATTCTTCCCCAAACAGTCCTGGGTACTTGTAGAAATACCAGTGTGAAAGAAACCAACCTCTCCCCACCATGTGTGGGGTTTCTGTTGATGGCTCCACAGAGTATTTGGTGCTCTTTTAAGTTGTCTGGAAAACATTGCCCTTGCAGATTCAGATTTTATATCCAGTAGTGATTAGGGCACCTTTATCACCTGGTGAAATGCTTGTATTTTCTTAAATACCTGAATGCTAAATACAATTGAGGCAATACTCAGGCTTTGTAGGTGTACAGTGATTTTTAGAAATGGTGTTGGTAATTTGAGGTCAGCTCAGGATGATTCCTGAAGCTCAAGACTTGTATCTTTCTCATGTGTGTTCAAAATCTGATGTAGCATTTTGCAGCAGAAGGAACTTCTGCCATGTAGCTCTTTGTGGAAAAAAAAAAAAGGTGCAATATCAATAAAGGGAAAGTTTTGTTTTTCTAAGGCCTCCATTTCTGAGCCATGTTTGTAAGCTGTTCAAAATCATTATTTGTGGTGATGGTACAGGCTGGTAAAACAAATCTATTAATCCTGAGGTGAACAGGTAGATGATGCAATCACATTATGTAGATAAATGCAAATATGCAGGTGGCAGTCACCACCAACTTCTGTTGTTTGGTTTTGGTTTTCATATTGGTACTTTATAAATTGGTGTGAATATTGGTGGTTTTACAAAAAAAAACCAACCCACCCCACACTCCTTACTGTATGACATCTGGTACGTAAGTTAATGAACACTTTTGTATTGTTTTCCTGTTCTTATTTCCACTGTTTTGTGTGACATTCTGGATGTTACTCACCTGAATTGCCTGTGACTCTCCCCTCTGAACCTCTGCTGGACCCAGGATCCTGGTGGGAGGACAGGAAGAAACCACAGTGGTGACTTCCAGGTACTGGGGCTCTCCTGTCTAAAACAAATCAGGTTTTCAGCTGCTTTTTGGTGGACACCTCTGCCAGGTTAACTAGCTTTCGGGGGCATTTTGTGGAGAAACTACTAGAATGTGGCAGCCTACACAGTGACTGGGTGGGCTCCAACAAGCAGAGCAAAACTTTTCTGAAGTATGAACCAAGATTTGAGCTTAAATTGGTCTTGTGGGATCTGTGTTGATTTCCAGGACTGCAGAGTGATGTGGAATCATGATCAGAGTCTGTATTTTTGTTGTTGTTTTTAATTTTTTATTTGGATACATGGAAGCATCCCTCTTTCTGAGCTTTTTATGTTCTGTAGATAATATAATGGGGTCTTCATGGTCTGTCTTGTTAAGAATAAAAAGGTCTGCCTTTTTTATGAGAATGTCTGTGTTATCTGTGTGACTATCCTGTAATTTCATGGTGAAACCTCAGATAGTCATCACAGCTCCATGCAAGCATTGGGACGCTCACATTTGCATCTGGATTCCCATTCCATGCCAACAGTCTGTGGAGCTGGAGTGCTGTGGAGATCATAGAATCATAGAATGGTTTGGGTTGGAAGGGACCTTGAAGATCATCTAGTTCCAAAACCTCCTGCACAGGCAGGGACACCTCCCACTACACCAGGCTGCTCAAAGTCCCATCCGACCTGGTCTTTAACACTGCCAGGAGATGGACTGTTCCCTAAGATGAAACAGATGTTAAATATCGTGTTCTCTCCATTTCTGGCAACTGCAGCAAGGCGTGGTGTTTGAAAAGCAGAGGAGGAGTCTGCTTTATCTGGAGCATGAAACATACTTCATCTTTCATCTCTTCTCCGTCCATCAGCTGGAGCTCTGCAGGAGATGTCGAAGTCTGGGAACGCTGCGGCCCAGGAGCAGCTTCTCCTTCAGGCCCCTGCGCGCTCAGGCCTCGCTGAGGCGCCGGGGAAGGGCCGAGGCGGCCTGAGAGGGCGGCCCGAGGCCCTGCCCCACGGCCTGAGCCTGCCCCGGGCTGGGCTCCGGTCCCTGTGTCCCGGTCCGTGTGTCCCCGTTCCCGGTCCGTGTGTCCGTGTGTCCCTGTGTCCCCGTTCCCGGTCCCC